ATTGTCCAGGCACTCATTGTTTTTTATGTATTGACGAATGCATGAATTATATTAGATGAGTAGGGAATTCTGACCGTTAGTCTACCAATCCGATCTAGGGAAATTATTCAACTTAGCAATTAACTAAAAATAAGTCATTATAAGTTGTGGCTTATGAATTAACGAACTTAGAACACCTAATTTAACTCTGGATTGGCCTAAGGAATTGAGAAATTATTGTGTAGATTAGTGATCTATACACCAAGGAATTGGGTAAAACGTCCTTGTTAATTTGCCATAATACTTTAACATATTGTAAATTTGATTAATTCACAGTTCATCAACAAGTATGAGAAGGGGAGTCGAAAGAACTTCTAATCGCCTTTAGTTATTAAAACCAACTCCATTAATTTCTCATTTTTATTCTCAAATCAAATGACTCTGAACCCCCCCCCCCCCCCTTGTTATTTACTTTAATTCACACGTAGTTATATTGTTTAAATTCACAATTTATCTGGAGACTAATTTTATTTATTACTTTGACGATACTAGTGCACTTGCTAGAATCTTCACAGAGCATCCCTCGTGCTAAGGTCTATAGGGAAAACGAGACCGCCTTAGTCCTCACCTAGGCCTAATAAGGAACATGTGATGGTTATATTGGCGGTTGAGATCTTGTCCATAAACTACTGAGGGAGGGTTATTATTGGCTCACCCTGATAAAAGATAGTAAAGAGTTCATCAGAAAACGTGACAAGTTCTAGAGACACTCCAACCTACACATGTGCCAGCTGAACCTCTTCACTTTATCATGTTGCCATGGTCATTTTATCAATGGTTTGTGGACATATTAAGTCTTTTTCCATTAACGTAGGGTGGACTACTTCACGATATGTTATTAATCAAAATTGACATGCTTGCATGGAGGCGTGCTCAATTCAGCAAGGAGGAAAACGAGAAAAAACTTAAATCTACAGTTGACCTGATTAACGAGACTTATGATGTCGTCCACGTTAGAGAGAACTCATCGCCAAACTGAAAGTCACCAGAAGATACAACTCAAAAGTGGTCCCAAGGAAAATGCAAGAAGGTGACTTCGTGCTTAGGCAAGTTATCGTGCTAGCCCACTCGGGAAAACTATAACCTTATTAGAATGACCCATGTCACATGTGCCAGAAACTACCTCATGGTGCCTACAAACTTTATGAGCTAGATGGAAGAATCATCCTAAGAACTTGAAACTCAATTAACTTGAGATATTATAATAGTTAATCGTTTATTGTTTCTTGTTTAAGGAGAGGGGATTTGGTCCTCCAATGTATGAATTCTCATAACGTTTTTCTTGATATATCATGGATAGGGTAGCATTATTTTCCCTGCATGGGTTTTTAATGAAGCATCCTATTTTAGTAAATGTCTAAATGATGAGGTTAGATGAATTAAACATGTTGGAAGTTCAAGGAAATATCATTTCCGCCCATGAGACTATAGAATACTGAAATTCCAATGAAGTATTCTTGTCATCCATGAGGCTATTGAATGATAGAACTTTAATGAAGTATCCTTGCAGCACACGAGGCTATAGAATGCTGGAACTTCAATGAAATATCTTTGTCGCCCACGAGCTATTGAATGTCATAACTTCAATGAAGTATCCTTGTCGTCCACGAGGCTATTGAATGCCAAAACTTCAATGAAATATCCTTAGCACTCTATAGGGCAATCATAGGATGAATCTACATTAAAGGTTTCTCGCAAAGGGGAATTATAAGCAAAGGGACTCACCCAAGTAGAGCTTGAGGGACTCTCCCCAAGTAGAGCTTGAGGGATTTGACTTTAAAAGTCTCGTTTGAGGAACTCGACTCTAAAGGTATCACTTAGAGGAAATCGCCTCAAGCATTGAATCAATGGTTTGTCCAAAGCAGCCCCTATTGCGGACGCTTGAATCACGTAACACTTGAATTAAATTACTTTGCCCTTTCCAAAACCTCGCGCTCGAGGAACTGTGGGCTAGCATAGTTTTGTTATTCTAAGAGAGAATGTTTCATAAGGATATAGCTAAGTCAACTAAATCAATGATGGGCGTGAACACTGGCCACCCAAAGTAAGGTTGCAGGTGGCTCGTAACAAGGCTACAAGTCACCAAAAATCAACCAGACTCGTGGGGTGCCCAAAGCTAGTCCATGTCATCCAAAATGCACGAGTGGTCGCCCTAATTAGGTTGGGTCAAGCTGCCCTAATTGAATCACTTTTTTTATCAGTTTAACTGGTGGACATGTGACACACGTAGAATCAATTCGGGGAAGAAACCACCTTTTCCTCGAATGCAGGAAGACTCAGTTTTCTAGTTTCGCGCCTCAGACCAGAAGAATGGGGAAACCGCTCTTCGGCTCTCTAGTCCAGACCCAATGAACAAAATTTCCATCATAAACAGATTCATGAGCTTAGGGGTTGCAAAATAAAACTGGCTCGTTGGACATGTCCATTTTGCCGAGGGTTTAGGTCTTCATCCTCTAATGTGTCTGCCTCTCCCCGCCCCATTTTCTTTGCGAGTTTTTGCGAATACGAGCAATTACACAAAGTTGTGTTTTTAAGCTTAAAAGTAATAGTGCTCGCAAGCTTTCTGTACGTTGCCCTCACTTTTTTGCATAGAGAACCTAAGTTTTAGGCTCACATCTTCAACTATGATCACCTCGTCCGCCCTATTTTTCTGCAGACTTTTGCGGGACAGACATGCCTGTTTGCCACCCACCACATAACGTGAGCAAACTCTTTATCCTAAACGCTAAAATGTCACACAATCCTACGAGATAAGGGTTGTCCTTCATTATACTTTTTTAGCAAGTACTAACTTTTTTATAGATTCTCTTACATATAAACCTTGTTCCAAAACAACATTGTGTGAATACATATAAACCTTTTATCATTCTTGTCACCCATAGTTACCTTGCAAATCAACCTTGAAGCCTCGTACTCCAAATACGTTTAATAGTTAATTTCTTATCTACTTGTTAACAAGGTATTATTCACTATATGGAGAATGAGCAAGAGTGGCTAGGTTTTGAGGAAAAGTAAGTTCATATCATCAATGAGTAAAAAAGGTTAAGAGTAGCTAGGTTTTGAGGAAAAGTAGGTTCATATCATGAGTAAAAAAGGTTGAGATTAAAGGAGAAATGGATTGGTGTATGGGAGGTGAGGTGAGAAAGGAGAGAAACATTGTTGTTAGTAGGGAAATCATAAATAATTATCACTTGGATTTGCCAGAGTTCCACATAGTAATATATTAAGTAATATATGTACAAAGAGTATAATATAAACATCTCCAAAGCTTTGGAGGCGTGTTGTTTGCTGCTTGGAGATTTTTCATATAATTTCAATAACCGAGTCAGTGTTTGTCCTACTATCCAAGTTCCCATGTTTGCCATTTTCACAATCCAATTATCATATCTGCATTGACAAGAAAGCAACCGTTAACATTCATGATTGTGTCCATATCCTAAATCAATTTGATGATCTCTTCTATAATGGCAAGGCAATAACGGATTATATTATCCTATTCTATGCTTGACCAAACAATGGTAGGATATAATAAAAATTACAAGCAAATGACAAAATAGCATAACTGTGGACACTGCAGAAGTTTAGGAAACAATACAAAAAACTCATATCATACACAAAAGCTAAAAGAGAAGAATAACATCAAAAATATATGCATAACTAATATCGAAGTTCATTCCAATCGTCTCGTCAATATTCAAACCCCATACAAAGCAAGTAAGTTTTAGCCTCCAAAGTTTAAGGTATGTAAACACGATTGATTTCCTGAACGGAATCACTATCTCCAAGGTAAGGATGACTGCAAGAAAGTTGCAGAAAGGGCTGCCAAAAAGCCACACAAGGTCAAGAGGGGAGATGAAGCTGCTTTGGAAGAGAAAAAATTACAAGACAGAAAGGGCATATTTCATTGTCATTCAAAATTTAAAAACAAAGGGAAAAGATAAAAGTTAAGGGCAAAATATAACTATTTTATAATGAAATGACCAACTTTTCAAACAAAAAAAATATACATTACTACTTGGTTTACATGTATCTTGCTGCAATTTGGCTGCTATTGGTGGCACTGCAGTTGCTACTCAACTGAAACGCAGTGCAATTTTTCCTAGTGCCTGCTATGCCAGTATTGACTACATAGTGCATGCCAAGTAATTTATAACCAAAAATTCAAACTCATTAACAAAGAACAAGTTTACAATGGTTGCAGTGACAGGGAAATTTAAAATCAAGGCATAGTGAATGGTTGTGCAGTGAATGAAGTGATGTATGGACAGTGAGTGAGAAGGGAAAAAATTATTCTGTCATATTATTATTCTTTTTTTCTAACCAAGAAGCCTCCCTAAGGATAGAATTTGCACTAATAAATAACCAAGATTGGACAAGCTACAGTGATAAAATAGTATATTATAGCGAAAGTTGATCCATGTGGCCAACTCCACTTAGTGAGATAAGACTTGGTTATTGTTGTTGACTCAATTGAAGCTGAGTTAATATAGGATATTGTATCTCAAACTATCCTTCCTACTTTCCTTATCTCACCAATATCAAGCCCAAGTGAGATAAACAACCATACAATAACACAATAGACTACATAACTATAAAAAAAACATCCTGGTTACTTAGAAAACTATGGCAACACTCCGTGATCGCGGAAGCCTTTATGCAATCGCAACGACAGCAATCACTCGCAAAAGCCTTTGCGCAACCGTTTTTTAAAACCTTGGACACTATACACTATTTTTCAAGTAATAAATTTCACTTTCCATTTGTATGTGGGAACCACACCAATAGCTAATAAGGTTAATTTGGTGAAAAACATGTTTGACAATTTTATTGCATTTCTCACTAAGTATACCACATTCATCTTGAAACCGATTACTAATCTTATTATAATTTCATTGGATTCCCGACAATGGAATGAAAAAACTCCTAATTATGCATTTCAAACAACGAGGAACAAAAATTACCTAAGTGGGAGGTGAAGTTGGGGCATTAATGGTGCTGTAAATTTTGGAAAGACGACCAGTTTGGGGCTTAGACCGAAGAGGTTTCTTTTTTAAGCCAAAAATTTCTTGAACCAACGGAACATGAACTAGCACCAATTTCCATGCCAAATACCAACCTGCAATTCACACGAACAAAATGGTTAAGATGAATTGAAGAAGCGATCGTAAACGGAGAAAAAAGTAACAAACCTAGAGCGATTAAGGAGAGAACGAAAGCTATGGCGAGAAAGGGACGCATAAAGAGGATTACAGTGTATTCCCAAATTGATAACGACGACTCCATTTGCGCAACCAACCTTTAGCGTCCACCTGAGTTTAACTATGGTCAGGCGTAGTTATAAATTAGGTTTAAATATGGGTTTCTTGCAAATTGGGTGAAACTAGGATCGGTTTGTTTTTGATAAAAAGATATTCATGCAACTCGATTTGATTTTGGATGGATAATTAAAAAATATTTAATTTAAGGTGGTTTATTTTGAATAATTTTTTTAATACTTCAATTATAATTTGTAATGGATAATTATAGTAAAAAAATAAGATAAAATAATTAATTTTTATGAAAAAATAGGCAGGGTTGGACCCATTATGGTGTTGATGGATGATGTAGAATTTTATAATTAATGGTGATGTTCTATGATATGCGGGGTGGACATACAATGTTACCACTTCAACACCTATAGTCACAAATTCCAAAAAGCGTATAGTGAAAAGTGAAGATCAAAAAAATGTATTTGGAATCTCATGTGTGTTTATTATATACATTGGATCATCTTGATTGGGCTATGCATGATTGGACCATTGTATTATGCCTTTAACCGACGCACAACAGCTGCCCTAAGGCTTGCGGGGGCATATATTGGCCGAGAAGTCTTTCAAAGTCATGGTCGGTCCTTTGCAATGATGTTCTACCATGGTAAGAAGTAGGAAAGTCGTGGAACAATTACAAAAGTAATGGGGAACAGACACATTAAATGTTTTCCCATCATTGAAACATTTCGTTGGTTTTTCCATACGCGTGGCTTTAGGTTAGTAGGTTAGAGTATGACGTTTTCTCCTAGGACATTCGAGTGCACTTGAGTTTGTTTGCATTTTCTAGGTGAAATTCTTGACATTGATTTGAAACTTTTTTGTTTCTGTTGATCTGGTATGTTACTCGCCTTCCACTATATATAAAGGCCTCTGGACATCTCGGAGAACTTTCATTATCCCTAAAAATAATTTTTCATTTGTGAGTGTACTTTCTCTTCTCTTTAGGAGCATTCCTTATAACATTTTCAATTTCTTGAATAAAGTTTTCCACTCTGCACTTCACCTTCTTCATTAGACTTTACTCCTACCAGGTACCTTTCTTACCCTGAACTTATTTTGTATCTTTAGTATTTACTTTACCATGGCCAATAAAAATGATTATCTCATAAGCATATCTAAAGATAATGGGAGTAGTGATTTCTCCCCTTTAACTAGAGCTGAAGTATCCTTTAGTTTATATTCTTACCACTTAGTTAACACTACTACAAAAAACACATGTAACCTCGGACGCGAAGCTGATTTAACCTCGGTTAAAAAGGCGAGGTAAAGAATGACGTCATGAAAAACTGTCACTTTACCCCTCGATTTAAGAATAACCGATGAGTTAGTTGAAATGGTCATGGGTTCGGTCCCAAACAATAGCTTTTTATATTTTTCAAAACTAACACCGTATACCTCTCGGCTTATGAAAAAATCGAGGGGATATATATATATATATATATATATATATATATATATATATATATATATATATATATATATATATATATATATATATATATATATATATATATATATATATATATATATATATATGTTGGAACTATAATAATTATAGTAATAGAAATTGAAAAGTGAATTTGAAAAGATTCATTTTAGTCCCACATTGGATGTTGGAATTATATTAATAGGAATTGGAAAGTGAATTTGAAAAGAGTCATGTTAGTCCCACATTGAATGTTGGAATTATATTAATGGGAATTGGAAAGTGAATTTGAAAAGAGTCATGTTAGTCCCACATTGGATGTTGGAATTATATTAATGGGAATTGGAAAGTGAATTTGACAAAATTCATTTTAGTCCCACATTGGAGGAATGGAAATATCAGCCTCACTAGCTACCTATAAATAAAGGGAAAAAATTCAGTAGTGAGCACTCCGGATTTCACAAATTCACACGAATTTTGATTTCCCTCTCTCTCCCTTAATTCTCTTCATCTAAACAATTTTCTTTTCTTGGTTTTTTTCGACTGGCTATTACAGCCAGATACTGGACTGGCTATTTTCGTCAGATAATTTAGAAAGGTGTATTTCTAGAGCGATTTATCAGTGTGCAACTGATAATCGTAATTTTGAACGGGCTGTTTTATCCTGGAGGCGTCGTCGTAAATCGACTGCTTTGCATATTTTGGCAGTACGGCGAAACGTCTTAAAGAAAGCGACCTAGTACGCGACTCGTACCGATAATTTCCTTGTGCCAATATTTCAAATCAATTTTAAGACATTTTCATAACTGCCATGGCAACTGAGGAAATTATCGGTACTACTGCGGCCGCTTTGGTCTCTGACAAACCTTTCAGGTTTGAGGGTTGCTTTGGTCTCTGACAAACCTTTCAGGTTTGAGGGTTCCAATTTCAAACGTTGGCAAGCTAAGATGAAATTTTTCTTAACTCTGAAAAAGGTTGCCCACGTCCTGACTGAGGATATCCCGGTTGTCCTTTCTGCATCATCTGAACTACCTAACGGTAACTCACTTGCAGATTCAGACGGGACTTCCAAAATGTCTGACTCAGATGCTGCAAAAGCTAAGGCTGCAGCAGATGATCTGCAGCTCCGAAAAGAAATCGCCTTATGGCACGAGAATGATTATCTGTGCAAAAGTCACATTTTGAACAGCCTTGCTGATGATCTGTACGACTACTACAGTAGCTACAGAACTGCTAAACAGGTATGGGAGGCTCTGAAAAGGAAATATGATACTGAAGAAGCAGGTGCGAAGAAATTTGCTGTCAGCCGCTACTTGAACTACAAGATGGTGGATGAGAAGTCGGTGGAAACTCAAAGCCACAAAATTCAGAAGATTGCTCATGAGATTATTACAGAAGGTATGCCCCTTAATGAACAATTTCAAATTGCTGTAATTATTGACAAACTGCCCCCTGGTTGGAAAGATTTCAAAAATATACTTCGTCACAAAACAAAAGAATTTTCAATCGAGAGTCTGATTACTCGCCTCCGAATTGAAGAGGAGGCTCGGAAACAAGATCAGAAAGAAGAAGTCTTAGTTGTTTACGACCACAAAAAGAAGTTTGGTGCGGTTCTGAAGCCTACGGGCAAACCTTTAAAGAATCAGAACCGCTGTGCTATGAACCGAACTAAGAATGGGAATCCCTATAGGGCCCCATCGGCTCCGTTTGCTAGGCAACAGCCACCACCTCAAAGAAATGATGCTCCGGTTTTCTCTTGCTACAATTGTGGGAAACCGGGCCATATGGCAAAGAAATGTAGGAGCGGGCCTAAACCTGCAGCTGGCTCAAATACACAGGTTAACCTGACTGATGAGCAACTAATTGCCATGATCACTGAAATCAACATGGTTGGTGGAAGTGACGGTTGGTGGATAGACACTGGCGCCACTCGTCATGTCTGCTATGATCGTGCTATGTTCAAGACATACATGAATACTGAAGATAAGAAAGTGTTGTTGGGAGATGCTCACACCACTAATGTTGCTGGAATTGGAGATGTTGAACTGAAGTTCACTTCAGGAAAGACTTTGATCTTGAAGGACGTCATGCATGTTCCTGAAATTAGGAAGAATCTTGTTTCTGGTTTTCTTCTGAATAAGGCTGGGTTCAGTCAAACTTTAGGGGCAGATTTGTACACCATCACTAAGAATGGTATTTTTGTGGGAAAAGGGTACGCCACTGATGGCATGTTTAAGTTGAATGTTGATTTGAATAAAACTTCTCCTTCTGTTTACTTTTTGTGTGATTTTAATATTTGGCATGGTAGACTTTGTCACGTTAATAAACGAATCATTTCTAATGCAAGCAACATAGGCCTAATCCCTAAACTAAATATTAATGATTTTTATGCTGAACATGGTATTATACATGAAACGACTGCTCCATACTCTCCTGAAATGAATGGTAAAGCAGAAAGAAAGAATAGGACTCTTACTGAACTTGTAGTTGCAATCATGTTAAATTCTGGTGCTGCACCTCACTGGTGGGGGGAAATTTTATTGACTGTTTGCTATGTCCTGAATAAAGTTCCCAAGTCGAAAAGTAAGATCTCAACTTATGAGATATTAAAGAAAAGACAACCAAATTTGTCTTATTTGAGAACTTGGGGCTGCCTGGCTTATGTCAGAATTCCGGATCCGAAACGAGTTAAACTCGCTAGTAGAGCCTATGAATGCGTATTCATTGGGTATGCAGCAAACAGTAAGGCATACAAGTTTTATGACCTAAATGCCAGAGTAATCATAGAATCAAACGATGTTGAATTCTTTGAAGACAAATTTCCCTTCAAATCGAGAAATAGTGGGGGCACACAATCGAGTCACATTCCTGTGATAAAAAGCACTGAAAGCAGCGACAATGTAGAAACAGAGCTTCGAATAAGTAAAAGAGCAAGAGTTGCTAAAGACTATGGGCCCGATTATGCGGCCTATAATGTAGAAGAAGATCCAATAAATCTTCAAGAAGCACTGTCATCTATGGATGCAGACTTATGGCAAGAAGCCATTAATGATGAGATAGATTCTCTAGAATCTAACAAGACCTGGCACTTAGTAAACTTACCTCCGGGTTGCAAACCAATTGGTTGTAAATGGGTTTTGAAAAAAAGAAACTAAAACCTGATGGAACGATTGAGAAATACAAGGCACGCCTTGTAGCCAAGGGTTTTAGACAAAGAGAAAATATAGATTTCTTCGACACCTTTTCTCCAGTCACTAGAATTACATCCATTAGGGTACTCATTTCAATAGCAGCCATTTATAACTTAATAGTACACCAAATGGATGTTAAAACAGCTTTTTTAAACGGTGACTTAGAAGAAGAAATCTATATGGAACAACCAGAAGGATTTATAATCCAAGGACAAGCAGAATATGCGAGCATCATTGGCAGTTTTAGGTATGCCACTGATTGTACTAGACCCGACATTGCATATGTCGTAGGATTGTTGTGCAGATTTACAAGTAGGCCGAGTAACGAACATTGGCAAGCTATTGAGCGAGTAATGA